ACTATAATATGACGTTTTTTGACATTTCTTGCCCTACTATACTATGACATTTCTATGCCTTAATATACTATGACATCTTTTGCAAATTTTTTGTAATAATATAGTATGACGTTTATGTGCCTTACTATACTATTATGTTTTTCGAGGTTTTTTTGCCTTACTATACTTTGACGTTTTTTGCCATTTTCTACCTTACTATACTATGATGTCTTTCTAGCTTACTATACTATGAGGTTTATACGCCTTACTATACTATGATGTTTTTTGACTTTCTTTTCCCATACTATATTATAAAGTTTTTTGACTTTTTTTTGCCTTACTATACTATGAATTTTTCCAAAATCTTTCTGCCTCACTATACTATGACGTTTTCACGCCTTATTATACTATGACGTTTATACGCCTTACCATACAATGATGTCTTTTGATATTTTTTTGCCATACTAAACTATGACCTTTTTTGACATTTATTTGCCATATAATACTATGACGTTTTTATGCCTTAGCATACCGTGACGTTTTTTCGACAATTTTTTGCCTTACTATACTATGACGTTTTTTTGACATTTTTTGCAATACTATGCTATGACGTTTTTTGACTTTTTTTTGCCTTATTATACTATGACGTTTGTATGTCTTACATCCCTATGACTTTTTTTTTTTTTTTTACATTTTTTTGCCTTACTATACTATGACGTTTTTATGCCTAAAAAAATATAACTTTTTTTTACAGCTACATGCGTCACCATACTAAGACATTTTTATGCCTCAGTATAGTATGACTTATGACATATGTCCCTACATTAAGAATGATTTAACATATTTTTCATGTATAAGAGGATATATTATTTAACATATATGACATATATACATCCTCTGTATATATGAAGATATAAGTTGATAACATACATGAAATACTTATATTAAAATGCAACTCAATTAAAACAACATGCTTATGATTACTCTATATGTTTGTATAGGATTTCCTGAAGAATTTATTAAATTCAAACAGATATTTCTACCTTTTTTTCCCACCTATTTAATATGAATAGATACTGACAGGCTTTGGGATGGAAATATCTTTATGTAATATATGTCTATAATATATACAGACATAACAAAACACGTTTCTATCGGCCAGACACATATGGCAACATATGATATTGTTCCAATTTTTAACAGGTTTCATATGAAGTTTTTACATATATAGGCTATATTTTAAATACATACATGATTTTACTTCATATGTACACATACTTCGTACATAGAAATTCAACACATGTACATATATTACATTTGCCTTTGGGAATTCCTGAATGTAAATTCAGATCTTATATGTTAATAAACCATTTGGTTGACGGCATTAAAAAGTCTCCATTTGTTTTGGAGGGTCAGCAGGGTTGTTGTGTCCCTACCAATGTTGAGATGAAATCTACGCCCTTGAAACAAAGCGTTGTGCATATTTCTACTCTAAGGTAGTTTAAGAAAAATTACATGTTTTACATCCTTTGAAATGGAAATGCAAAAATATCCTCATGGGACACCTCATGTTAATGTGCTTTCTTTTTTTTGCCTGAATTCTCATGTCCTATTATGCTTGGCAGCAGTACTGTATATCTGAGGAGAAATCCTACATCTTTTCAGCAGTCTGAGGACAAAAGGAGAACTTCCACATCTATTCACAAGCCATTTGCTTCCACTGCTGCTGGCGGTGCAGAAATAACACAGGTGTTGGGAGCCAAAAACAAGACGGCTGTTTATTTGCCGCTTCTTGAGCCGAAGAAATTACACGCACAGCGGAGCGGTGCAGCCGCCTGTTTTTCGGAACGATGTCATTCCTCTCTGTATCTCATTTTCCCACTCTCTCCTTCTTCTTCTCTTCTTCTTTGACTCCTCACATACCTTTGTTGTTTTCTGAGGCAGCGTTGGTGTTGTTTCTCTCAGAGTGGCCGCATATTGTGTGGCGCTGAATACCGTGTGGTTGTTTGTCCTATTCAAGTCTGAGGCCTTAAAAGGAGATTAATTGTTGATAAAACAGAATAGGGTTTAGTGATTGAAATCCCATGAAAGGGAGTTGGGTTGTCTGCTCTTTCTTCCTCTCGGCTGATAAACGGATCTCGCCTATTGTTGTGGGAGGACTTCTCATTAATGTGTGGATAGATTGTATGGGCTTGTATTTGCCATGGGAGAAGAGGCTTTTTGTTAAGTAAGGATAGCAAGGTCAGGCACAGAGTATCACCGCTTACTCCTCTATCACTATTTTTATTGCCCTCTCTCCTTTTCTGTCTGTCTCACACAAACCAACATCAGTTTGTGCATGCCAAGACACGTAGACACACGATAGTATCATTCATACATCCACACTTCATGTCAGAAGCTGACACTAACAGTGAGATAACTCCACTGATGCATTTCTGGATCTAAGGCTTGAGTCTTGGTAAATGTCATGAGAAGGTGCATATAAATATAAATGTACAAGGATGTGTGTATTTGATTAAAGAGATGTGCTGCCAGTAAGCCAAAGAGCTACTTTCATCACATGCACTCATCATTCCATGTGACCATGACTCTATCAGTTTTATTTAGTTACTGAATGTAGCACCTGCAAAATTGCCTGTAAATCTGAGGTCAGGACGTGTGGAGAGCTGTGTGCACTCATAGGCTATCTGCTGGACGGTCAGTAAACCCCTCCAAACTGTAGGACTGCCTGCCAACACTGTTTATAATATACTATATACTTTACCACTCTCAGTTCCCCTATTACGACAGAGTATTTGGACTAGCTACAAAATCTGAGATTTTGTCAGTATTTTGAGAACCTGCAATATTATGTGTATTAAAGGATAAATTCACGATTTTAATAAAACATCAGTATCGCTCGCTTTTGGAGTCAGCCTCAAGTGGCCATTCAAGGAACTGCAGTTTTTGGTACATTCACATTGACTTAATTTTTCAGCTCCAGAGGTCGCTGCTTGTCACTTCTCTGTTCATGGGAGCTGCCCAGTATGACAACAGTATTTCACAGAGCCACTGGTTTGGTAACAGGATAGAAGACTGTGTCTCCATTCTTTTCTCCTTGTTTTATTTCCTCACCTTGTGCGGGGATTCAAACCAGAAACCATCAAGTCACGGGTTCAATTCTCCTTCAGGCTACTGCCTCCCTGAGAAGCTGTGTAACTCAGGGGCTCTCGAAAACTGCTTATGGAATGGAAAAAAAGTGCTGAGTTTCTGTACAGCTGTGACTTTAAACAAGTGTGAGCCCCAGTGTTCAGCCAGCCCAGCGGTGACTACACCTAATGAGGCTGGGTAGACACAGGGCAAGCTGTGCTCATGATGTTCTGTGCAGCATGTGACAGCAGACTGATTTCAGACCAGCTGCTGATGGTGCTGATTGTAAACAAACACGTGAACAGTGACAGTCAGCAGATCTGAGACCTGCTGAGAGATGGATGAGCAGCTGTTTTCTGTTGCTTCCCAAAAAGCTGGCGTTCAACCGACACACATGCACACACCTACACACGAACACACACAGCTGGAGACATGGAGCATGAGGTTTGACCTGGGTTGCTCTGACAAGGACCTGTCACCAACTTACACTTTACTCCGGCAATCAGCAGGCTTGTCAGCTACTCTCTGTCACTGGCAGCTTGGCACACAATGTGGTGTGTGTGTGTGTGTGTGTGTGTGTGTGTGTGTGTGTGTGTGTGTCTTGCCTAATCTGCTCACCCACTCCTACTATGCGGGAGTTACACTACTGAGGCACATATGTATCTCCACTCCTGCCTGCTCCGCTCCCTCCTGAGAAACAGAGATATGCGAGTCTGTATGTGTGTGTGTGTGTGTGTGTGTGTGTGTGTGTGTGTGTGTGTGTGTGTGTGTGTGTGTGTGTGTGTGTGTGTCGTGCTGCACTCTCTAGCACCATGTCTCTCCCCAGACAGTGAGATGAGGTGTAGAAAGGACAATTGAAGTGACTGTCATACTCTGCTGAAGGAAAAGATGGGAGGATGATGGAAAGAGGAGGAGACAGTCAGAGTGAAAATGAGGGAGAGGAAGACAGAACGACAGCTGAGGATGGATAGACAAAGAGTTGCAGGCAGGAACAGGGAGAGAGCTTTCCAGACAAGGTGACAGTGCTGGGGAGACTTTCCCGAGCTTGGGCTTGGAGCATGGCCGACACTGCTGAGGCCGGCGTAGGAGGAATGTCAAGGGCACTCAGCATCAAACCTCTAAAAGGCTGCCCTGCCAAGCACTGTTATAAAAGGGTTATGACTTCAATATTCAGGATCATATAGAGTAGGAGCGTGGGCTGTGGTCCAAATCAATTCATTTGGACAGATGTCTCTGTTGCAATGAAACTGTTGTGGTAGATTCATAGCTTACCATTTACAGTCACCTGATGCTATTATCCAGAACACCTTAAGGGGTTCAGCGTGTTGCTCAAGGACACTGCGACTGTAAACATGGCTGCTGATGGACAGGTAATAGGTGTTGAGGAAGTTGATAGTTTGGTTACAGGACACTACTCGCAGCTGTTCGTCAGCTGCCAGGGTGCAGCATGGCTTCTTTATGACTTGAATTGAAATCATCAGCGTCTTCCTGCTTTCACTGCAAGCTCCTCAGCTGTCCAGATGTGTGTGTCTTTGCTCAAGTGGATCCGAGGTTCACTGTGGTTGTCCTCCCTGCAGCGCCAAATGACTGACAAAGTCTATTACACCAGAGAGGTGAGAGGATCTCAAATGCATAATTGAACATTAATTAACTACTGGAGTTACTATAACTAATGATAAGAATGATTGCACATCTAATGAAACTGCCCCTTTGCATACTAAAACACGATTCTGTTCTCTCTCCATCTCCTGCCTGTCTCCCTTTTCTTTGTTTCTCTCCCTTCCTTCCTTCCCTGAGGAACTTCCACCAGTTTCACCTCTTTCCAGCTCTGTGTGACTCCTCTGTGTGCCATGGAATACCAGAGGCAGCCACAGGGCATGTATTTTTCATACTTGTCTGACTTCTATTTTGGTGGTCTGAGAGGCGTGCAGTAAAGGATTCCTTGCTCGACCAGAGGCTCCATTTCCCCCCTCATCGAGCTTGATGGGGTGCCTCCATTCTCCCAGCCTCCCACCACCCAGGACCTCCAATATTCGACCTTTAGCAACTAATCTGTGAGAGTTAAAAGAAAAGAAAGGGGAAGAAAAAAAAAAAAAAAAAAAAAAAAAAAAAAAAAAAAAAAAGAACAGGAGCAGACTCAAGCTGGGAACCAGCCAGCTAAAGAGATCAACATGCTTGCAGGTCTCTATGCATGTTGTGCAGACACTGGAGGTTTTGCACACATGTGCTCTGCCGCATGTGTGTATTCCCTCTCTCTATACACATACTGTACTGAACTCCTCAGCCTCCTCTTTTATCTTCTCCCTTCCTCCTATCCTGCTGAATGTCCCTTCACCTCTGCTCTCCACCCCGTCCCTCCATGCTCTATTGATCATTCGCCTCGCAAGTCCGAGCAATGAGCTATTCAGTCAATATTCACAGCCGAGCCCATGCAGGGGCTGAGCAAAAAGTATTTGATAAAAAGTACAAGAGCTGCAAGATAGTGCACAACCTACACTGTCTCACACAGGTAAAACAGATGTCACACTGCTTTCTGCAGACAACATTATACACTATGTCCACCTCAGATCTTCAAAGTCTCCCTTGCTGCCTTTAGTGACTGTGGTCAGAGGAAGCTATTTAATGAGACACCCATGTAATGAGACACATGATGGATGTTTGTTGTGTTTGTCCTGTGGTTTCTCAGCTGGTAATAATGATACTGAATGAAGCTGAAACCAGTTGATATTCTCACTCTTAAATTCTTTGCATGCACTGCAGTGAAACTATACGAAGGGAATCCAGTTAAAAGCCATTAATGCTTATTGATTTATAAAAGAAACAGTCTCATCAGAGACAAGGAGATGAGTCAAGATTTTAAGGCTTCGATTAAAATTGCAAAAAGCATAAAGTCCACTAAATTAAATGACAAAATATGTTGTTTCATCAGGACTATTTGGGTGTGTTTTGATTAGATTTGACAGAGTGGCCAAACAACCCATCGACTGTCATACTGGAATTATTGTTTCTGGCTTGTAAAAAACATTCACATTAACATCCAAGTCGTAATTGAGATTGGGAAAGGATTTTTCTGAAAGCTCCAGTATATCTAACTTGACACTAAATAACAGGGAAGTGTCTGAAAACAAAAAAATATGAAATGGCTCACATCACCAAAAGGCCATCATTAATGGATATCGTGTTAGCATTTTAATCTTCACACGACCAACTCTATATTCATAAAGCTGTGTTGATCCTGTGAACTCTCACACAAACCGTTAACATGGGAATCATTCCCATGTCTATTATCCATACCATATGGTGTGATTGTGCCCAAAGCAAGTGAGAAGAGCACAGAGAAAAAACAGAAATAGCAAAATCTCTCATGTGAAATGTTATAGTATGTTCATGTAAGACACTTGCAACACATAGTGAGAGGCTGATAGAGAATATACATTTTCAGGGCTTTTAAAGGAGCCATTTGTAAGTTTTGCTATTGCTGCATAGCTAAAGTTAGCATTAACTGCTGTTTACTTACCTGTGTAGAAGAAACATTGAGAGTTCAACATCAAATTTCATTCTTTTACTCACCAAGAGCCGTGTCCAGAGGTGGAAAGCATAGCCAATGTTAACTTTTGTGTCTATCACGTCCGTTCTTCCACTTAAATTAGCCCTAGCCTGTATCCACACTTTCCGATAGCGTCTCACTGTAGCCTATAATCTGCCCTGAAGACATAGCACTGCTCAGTTGCTACATAATAACGTTGTCAACTTCACCTGACTTTCTCCTTTGTTCCTGCCATATTTACTGCGGACCTATAGAGGGGCTTTGTCACTTGAATGATTGTGGCAAAAATTGCTACAACCTCAGATAATGGCCACTTAATATTTTCTACACTGACTGTGTGAAAGAAAGAGTTAATTTTTTTATTCAGGCGATTATTTGTGATTGTGGTTACTGTTACACTTTGCTCATTATCTGCCTTGGCAATGTACGCCAAACAACAAATAAAACGCTTTAGGTGAACTGCTGCATGTTCCACTTTAATAATCACCTTGTTTGCCCACTAAAGTCAACAACCCTTCTCACAATGAAAGATCCCCTGCATCATTGTCATCTTATATTGTCATGCTCAAAAGGTTGTAATATTTACCAATCCTCAGTATTCCTCATTTCATCTCATGGCTCTCTGCAGTCTCGGCACAGCAGGTGCAAAAATCTCTGCCTCAGACCAGCTCTAAAGATGTATTGCAAGACCTCGGGAAAATTCATTCAATTCAGTCCCACAATCCCTTAATTACAAGTGTAGTGATGTGATGTGCAAGCAATAACCTGCCTGACTTTGTGTCTCAATGACAAACACAAACAGTATCTTTGATGGAGTCTAGTTATGTGTACACACACACACACATACATGTGTGTGTATATATATATATATATATTATATATATATATATATTATATATATATATATATATATAGTATTATATATATATATATATATATAATATATACACACACACACACACACACACAACTAAGACTAAACATAAACATTATTTCATCTGAGGGTATATGTTAGCACTGAAAATGATGTTTATCTTTAAATCTATCAGTTTTTTGTCATTAAGAAACCTCTGAGATCCTTGTAATCTAATTAGCTTTGTGATAACCAAGCGACACAGGCAACAATAACAGAGAAATAAGATTGTGCAGCGCTTTACACAGCATAGTTGCAGCTTGGATGACCCTATGAGAACAGATGATGGGCGTAATCAGTGCAGACACGCTGAGATACCATTAACTATTAGCAATTAACTATCTTATAAACAAATCCTAGGATGGAATACTAGTTTAGACAGTCGGCTGAAAACCCTCATCCCTAGTATTGGAGGCATCATTTGTCACTCATGTTATGTGAACTGTATGGGATCGTTTCGTGTTTTATTTCTGAGCCCCTGAGACAAAACTTTACAACAGACATGTTCCAGAGCTGACGTGTTACCATCTGCAGTTTGATGACTTTCTCTGCTGTTATAGTCAGTTTGGTTTGTGTTAGTCTCGGATTTTACAGTTTTATCAGTTTGATTTAATGCAAACTGTTTTTTACTTGCTCCTTTGACATGAATTACATTTTGAGTTTTCCAATGTGTGAAAATAAATTTAAAACCACTGCATTACCCGCTGGGTTTAATTTACTTGGTTAGACTCTGTAGTTGACTCATTCATATGCACTGCAGTTAAGTCTCAATGGTGAAAACAGTAGGGCCTGCTAACACTCTGGGCATTAATTTCATTAATGATTACTCTGTTGATTATTTTCTCAATTAACTGATTCATTGTTTGGTCTACATCACTTCCCAAAGCCCAAAGTGACATCTTTAAATGACTCGTCTTGTTGACCAACAGTCCAAAAATATTCGCAGTATTATCATAAAAGACTGAGGAAACCAGACAGTATTCACAGTTGAGATGCTGGCAGCACACATTTTGACATTTTCTCCTTTTTCCAATATAAACTGTTTCTATCGACCAATTACTGCCTCTGAATATTGACAGGATAAAATCATTAAATTACCATATTGTCATTAGACATATTCAATGTCTTTTTCTTCATGCACAAACCTCTACTTCACAGCAGGTGGGCAATGGGCACTTAAGAAAAGAGTGTTTATTTTTGTTGAGAGTAGAGTGCTTTGTAAGACAAAGAAAACTTCAGATGACCAACCACAACAGGAAAGAGGTGTGGCAGTATGACCCAGATTACAATAATAACAACAACAACAATAGGAGTGGAGCTATATACAGCTATATACAGGAGGAGCTGTTCGCTCACAGCTGTAGCTGCTGTAGATCATTCTTGTGAGATAGTGCACATTTCCACTGGGGCTTTTCTAAATATGAAAAAGTGTCAACATGTCTTTATTCTTCAAACAGTAAAGCACGGTTTGTTCTTTTGTTGATGGCATGCAAATTGGTAAATAAATAATTTCTCATTTAACACAAACTGTGCAGTTCTAAAGAAAGCTTTTCAGTTGAAAAGAAAAGCCAAAGAAAATCAGAGTTTCATCTGTCTGTCAAAGCCACATGTCTGGATGATTGTCATTAATCTGAAGGACTGTGCCTCATGTGGCTTGGAAAGAGATAACGCCAGTGCCCTTGTTTCAAAGAAGGTTTTCTGTATGAATGTGTTTGTTTGTGTCTGTGACTGGGTGATCTTGTGTGTGGGGCATTTACTAAATGAGATTTTGGCAGGTTCACATATTTTAATCTTTGGTTTAGGGTCAGAACTAGATTTGGATTGAGGGTTTAAATTATGTGTTCTGTGGTCAGGGTGAAAGTGAATAATGAGTGAATAATGTAGTCGTGGAGGGCTTCATGAGTCTAGAAGCACAGGGACTGTGGCAAGTTCATCTGGCTTCCATCTTGTGTGTGAGTGCCATTGAGTGTTCACACATTTGTGCAACGTATGCACAAAGTCATCAGTCTGAGCATGAATATGCATGTGGTTATGTGAGGATGAGCTCCAGCCAGATACTCAAACTCTTGACTTGAGTCACAGTCTAGTCTCAAACTGAAAGTTATCTGCATTGATTTCAGACATGGCTTGAACTCATTAATAAAGACTGACAGATGATAAGACTTTCAAAGACTGGTTAGGTATTTGTAAATATTTTGGTTCCTAATTTAAGCTTGCCTTATCGGAATGAACCAACAGTCTCAGATCAGTGTTAATTAGCTGTAAGCCATGCTAGCTTGAACAAGTGAATGCTTGCTAACTTTATCAGGCAGGTTAGCTTGCATTATTAGTCAAATGCTGCTACTACTCATTGGCCACTTACTGTATTTTAGTTCTATTCATTTGATGAGACTCTGATAACCAGTAAATCAGATGTTATTGTTGTTTTATGTGACCAATATGTAAGAAGCTACATTGTACTTACAGTAAATGAAAAGTAGTTCAGCTGGTCTTCTAAATATTCCAAAAGTCCCCCAAATAAAACTGGGGACGCAGCCTTCATCCATTATGCACCTAAACTGTGGAAAGCATTACCGAGAAAGTGAACATTTTTAAACGATAACTGAAAACATAACTGTTCAATTTAGCTTTTAATTAGCTCTTAAGAGTTTTTTTCTTTCATTGTATTCATTCTTGCATTACTATTTTTTGTTTAAATTATTCCTTTTATTAGTTATTATTATTACTATATTTTATTCTTTTTTAAATAATTTTTAATGATTCTCCTGTCTTAACTCCGTCTCTCCTTTCATATTTGTCAAAGCACTTATTTTTTATTATTATTAATTATTATTATCGTTATTGCTGCTGCTAATCATACACCAAAAATCTAATATGTATGCCCTTTTTTCCTTTTGTTGGAGGCCTGCAGGTGTATTAAATTTAAAAATGCAGCACTGTGCTTTAAATTGATCACAAATGTGGTTCCTTTATATGCTAATATAATATATAAACTATAAAAATACAGTTTGTTTGCAGTGACATTTGTGCAAATGGCCATATTGAGTAGTAAGTGACTCAGGCTGAAACAGTCTTGACTAGGACTGACAATTTGTGTCTCATGAACATCTGTGGTCCCAGCAAATACTTGAGAGCCTCGCAATAGCTGAGCAAAGTGGCGTTTCCACCCAGGCAGGCGAAGGCGTGAAGCAATGAGACCACAGGCTGCCAGACATCATTATCTCTCTCAGCAGTCCCCAACACGCTCTCGAACTGGGTTGGACTTACTGATTCTGGGGCGAAAGACACCCGCAAACAACAACAAACAGTAACAACAGTGCCAGTGTTTGCAAATGGTGTGGGACCCCCATCTCGGGAGCCACATGTGCCCAGGATCCAATCCCGCCAGGACTCTGACAGGATTTTCCTTCTATCACACTGTTTCTGTTTCACTGTTCATACTCTTTCAATAAAGAACAGAGACTTGTCAAAGGTGGTCGGCCCACTACTTCGCCAACCAAACAAAAAAGGGGAGGATGAAAAGAAAAGCTATAGTATGTAAGTAACTGTACAGAATTTGCAGAGGCGTAGTTACTAAGGCCAAGTCTGTTGCAGCTTGAAAAATCTACAATTCTTTTTTTTATCTTTTTTTTTTACAAAAACTGTACTGTACTAAACTTTAGATGCTTTGCCTACAATAACTTTGTGAGCCATCTGAACCTCGAGGGCTCCTCTTGAGTTTTGCAGGGGGAAAATGAAGTGCTTTCAGTCATTACCAGAGATCTGTAAAGCAGCCAGTTAGATCCATAAGACTCGCAGGATTGGGCTCAACAAATCACTCTCCTTTAATGAAAAAAGACAAAAGAGGCAAATACACCTATCCAAGTTGTTCAGCTTCCAGGAGCAAGAAACAGATGTATTTGATGGAACAGGCACTGACAAAATGATGCAGTAATTGATATAGACACACAAACACAACGGTTTTCAATCAGCACAAGGCTGTTATCAAACTGAGATGTTGTCAACTTGAGCATCTCCATTCATCACACTACAAGCCTATCAGTGGTTGGGGACATTTATCTTTTCTCTAAAATTGGATTAAATCCCAAAGCAACACATCACTTCTGTCTGAGTTATGTTATGTGGAGAGATGTACCAACACACCCCCCTTCGATGGCACAACAAGGCTATCATATATGTGAGAACCTACTGTATCAGAAACTGTCTCAGTGGTTAAATAAACAAACCATTACTAGGGGTGTAACTCAAAGCTGGTATCTGTTTATTCCACAAAAACAGGAGTATCTGTACTCAGATTTTCACAGTGGGCAGGGCCTATACAGGAAGGTATTAAAATTGTCTAGAACCCTCATACTCAATAAGTAGACTCTGGTCCGAATCCAGAGGAAGGTGCCAAGGTTGAAAAAGTGAAATGTGAGGTTCAAAGAATGAATGGTTGGTGAAATGAATGAATGGTGAAAATGCACACTTCATATAGGAGGACTGAGACATATTTATTCTTTCTGAGAGAAACACCAGCACCATAAACCTGAACCACCTGAAATCATCATTCCACTTCAGTATCAGTATGAGTTCAGCTGTTCAAAAAATACAAAATAATATTTTAACTCAAATCAGAATTGAATTGTGCCATATTTCAAGATTTTCTTTAAAAACTGGAGGCTCTTAGTAAAATGGGAGGAGGCCCAAATGAATTTAAAGGTGGTCTGAGGTGTCTATGATAACAGATCATTGGGAAATATTGCATTATTTCATATGAATATTGCATTTTTTCATATGAAATGAGGTTGCGAATACAATGGGAGGAGTCTCAGATGAAAATAAAGTGTCTAAAAACAATGAGAGGGCAGTTGACAAAATTTTAAAAGCTCTCTTGGCCATTTTATATACACCTTTGAGATGGTCCCTAACTTCAGCTCATCAGCTTCCCATCTCCCGTTAGAGCCAGGCTTCAGTATGGGATGATGAGGTGAGAATAACATCAGTGCAGCTTTATTCCACTCTGTCCACCAAATGTGGTGAAAACTGATGAAAAGTTATTGTGGATAAACCTTTGGGAATGTCTAAATATTGAATTTACTGTAAGCCTTTCTACAACCCTGCGTTTTAGCCTTTAGTCCATTGGGTTAAATGTAAATCTGCATCAGAAAGTCCTGCTGCTGTGGCGCAGCTCCTGCAATCTGGATCTGATATGAGCCTTATTTCCAGTATGTGTGTCTGTGTGCAGTGAGTGTGTGTTGTAATGATCATGTTTTGATTTGACTGAATTATGACTGAGAGGAAGTGGAGTGATGTCAGTGGTAAATTGTGTCAATTGGGTGACAAAAAACCCCAAAAACATCAAAAACAGAATACCATTAAAAAACTGGATGCTGTTTGTATATGTTCAGAGCACATTAAATGCTCATATCTGAATAATGCATATAAATATAACATGCACCAAAACTTGTGTTGTTAGGGAGATTTATCTTTTTAGGTTGCTTATAAAAACAAATTTGGCATTTAGATAATGAAATGTGGCACACCACTGCCAGGCATCTTGACTGACACGCACAATAATTAGTACTGACTGGATGACTCTTACCTGAGGGGTTGAGCAGCCGCCAGGTGATGGTTGGGTCTGGTCTGCCACTGGCCAAACAACTGAGTGTCACATTACTGCCCTCATTCACCGTGATGTCTTCGGACACCTTGTAGATGTTGGCTGGAACTGGAGGCACAATAGGAAAGGACATCAGGGTTAATAAGACTATAAAGAAAGCATGAAGAACAAAGTGTGCTGTATTGACACGAAGAACAAGAGGAGAGGTCTCAACCTCTGGAAGTTTTACATCTTTGTTGTTTTTACATAAAGTGAAATACTGAGCATGTTCTATTCATCTATCTCTAACACAAGTCCTCTGCTAGTTTACCACGCCAGCTGCTTTACTCCTGTAGCATCCTTTGCTATATCTTTATAGAAACTATTGCGATTATTAAAGAGAGGTTAAATGCAAACACAAGCTGACCTTGATTCTCTCAGTTGAAAGGAAGACTTTAGAAAAGCTTTAGAGAACCCTTTTCCTGCTGCTATAGCCCTCAGAGGTACTTACAGTAAACTTTCTCAACCCAGGATCCAAATAAGCAATTTAATCTCCTGCCCCGGGACCTCAGCTCATGAAAACAGATTGCCTCTCTTGTCATACGGGGGACCCACCAGACGCTTGGCACTGATTCCGAGTTCAGACACATATACTTTCAGAAAAGTACGCTTTAATACACAACTCCAAATTTTAAAGGTGAAATTAAGAATCTTTTTATGCGTTGCATGCATATGTGACACTGATGTTCAAAGTAACACGGAGCGGTTTCATCTCGACGCAGCATTTAATGATCATCCTGCCTGGCGATCACCTCATCTATTCCTCACTCCCACTGCTTACACTCCCACACAAACAAACAGAAACCTAGAGAGAGGGGGGAGGGAGAAAAAAACAACAACAACAACAACTGAGATGAATTAGGAAGGTGCAGTTTGCCTTAAAGTGAGTCAGCAGCTAAGATACAATCAATCGTGAAGGATGTAGAGGGCATACATCATTGTTTCCACAGACTGTGGGTGAAGCGGTTGGGATATGGTGTCATGTATGCAGATATGCAGAAGAACAAATAATGATCAATGAGTTTGGAATATGATGAATGTTGGAACATGCACAATGCAGGCAAATGAGGAAGCGTACCTGTTTATTTTCTGTGTATTTCCTATTCTAATTTCAGGTACGCGTGCACATGCGTGTGTCAGGTCTATAATCTTACGGGCTTGACACACATTAGGCTCTCTTCAGTTAACCCTGTCATTAAAACATATGGTTACTCCCACTTCTTACAAGAAAAATGAACAATCAGAATTGTTTATAACCCTTTCTTAAGGGTTGTTATGCTGTGTTTTCAGTGTAAACACAAAGGCAGCTACCGCTCTTGTCTGCATTGGAGACTATTCATCTTTTTCTACTTGCTGTCACAGCTCGCCATGTGAACATTGCAATTGAAGAAACTACCGCGCCTTCACCAGGAGAAAGCAAACGTATGAATGTTTGGGAGGCCCTATTTCCAGTTGGTTGCAGAGGTAGAATCCTCATTTATTTTTCCGATAGACAACCGTAATTTACAGATGGAGCACTCTTACAACCTTACACATTTCAGTCAGCAGTGGGATTACTGTTCTTTAGCAATCACATTTGACACCTTGTTAATTTGAACAAATGCATTTTTTTAACTTGATTTTTCAAACTCTGACATAAATATGTCATAATATATCTCAAATGCAACTTTTGACATCAGTTTCAAATTAATTTTCAGATAACCCAGGTTTTATTCTGAAAAAGTAAATGTACAAAAGAATATATTTTGAGTGACATGTGACGCTGGAGCCTGTGAATATGTGCAGATGCACATCATGAACATGCACACTTGAAATGTAATTGAGAAAAGTAAAAACTTTTGCAAACTTTTGATTTACTCCACGTCCTTGTTTATTGTTTGTCTCTAGGCCAGCTATTGTTCACTGAATGCAGCCAGACCTACAGCATGATCCGCTGTTGGCGTGCATTAATCGCCTGCTGCGTATCAAGCACATTCACAGTATCAGCTTGTCATTCAAAGAATAGATATATTCAAAGAATATATGAATAATCTGAAAATAGCCTTGTGCATCAAGTTGACAAAAAGCTTAAAAACACATTGCTAAGTCAATTGGCTTTTCCTGTTCCTGCAGTGTCACCCTGCCATTATTCTGAACTAAACAAGAGAGTCATAATGCTTTTAAAGCCATGGGAGGTGTTGCAAACAATTCATCTTTCTTTTTACAGCTCTTTAGTTCATGTTCTGTGATTTAATGTTTTTCATTACATTTTATCTACACACAATCAATCCTTTACTCAATCTAAGATCAAGAGGAAAATAAAATATGTTGTTAAAATATCCATAAACACATATAACACCTATTGCAGTGAGACACTGGTTAGTGATTAGCAAATAGACACTTAAATTTTGCTTTTATTCATGTTCGTAAACCTGACTGGGTTTTAACAGCCAATGTGAATAAATACATAGAGGCTTTCTTAAAAACAGCTCTTTAACAGTTCACCACCTATCATACCATCATCAATGTGGCATCTGAAGCTGCCTCTGGTTTCCTTACATACAATTCATTGATCAGTCAAGTGACTGACAAATTGCCATACATACCATGTATACAAACATTATCATCACCCCTGTCTTAATAACTGGTATGTACAAAATGTCATTACTTTTAGTTGATGAAAGAGAAATTACAACCATGAATACAGAGCATGTAATATTACAATACAATCTTTCATCTTCACCCTCAGTGGGCAAAAAGGTTGGATTTCCATTTTTCTCTATTCTATCAACCTCATTTTTCAAAACACTGCATGTTCAGATCCTTTCCATCACTTAACATTTGTTAATAACCATCCATGAACTTTACAGTTTTTCTCAATAAACCATGTTATTTGAGAATAAATATAATCTAGCAGACCATATGAACCCTGAGAAGGTTAAATGAAGAATTAGCCAGACTTCTGCACCCCGCTGTATGTATGTTGGCAAAGTAAGAGAGAGGTCTGTCTTAACTGTCAGATGCAGTGTGTGTGTTAAGGAGGAAATATGTGCTGAAATGTCAAATTCTGAATGTGACTGCATCAGATTTGAGTCAGTGGTAATAAACCTTAATTGCCAAGATTGAAACAAGCAACTACAGTCTCAACACATTAGCCTCATGTCTGATTAGTCATCCAAATCATTTGCACATAAAAAAAGCTTTGTTGGGAAGTAAATCATTAAAACTTATGGGTTACCTGATTAAAAGTGTCAACAGCCGCACAATCCGCTGCAAAAAGCTGCTGTGAAAAGTAACAGACTCTGCCAGCTCTCAACAACTGTTGTCAATTTGTCCTTAAACAGGGCACTTAAACCCCAACTGCTCCATTAAAGTTACTCAGTGGTTCGACAATAAAGGAATGCACAGCAGTCATACTCCTGTTGTGGGTGTTATCCGACGCCAGCAGGTCGTGTGGTTTCCTCTTGCAGTGAGTGCACTGATTCCAGTTTCAGAAGTTTAATTTTGGTGAAGGTGCTTGTAAGATTTATCTTGATTTACTACAAAATTCACTGGGGTTTTTGTGTTGGCCTCAGTTACTTTATAACTAACGAAAACACATATGGAAAATCTAAAAATCTATAATTGATGCAATTAGGAATGCTGAGCTGCAAACACATTTCTGAGAACAGCATCATGTGGGAATTCAGTTGCTATTTAATTCTAACAGGACTTGCTGTGTTGAATTGAAATAAAGTCGCTCCATTCCTCAATATCGACCATGTTTTTCAAAAAACAATATTTCAGTGATTCTCTCTTTCAGATTGTTTCTCCAGCGAGGTTATTATTGAAGCTTTGTCTCTGTACAGCATCACTAACAGCCTCCCCCAAAATTCACATCTCTCTCTCTCTCTCTCTCTCTCTCACACACACACACACACTCACATACACACAAATAACATCCCTAAGTAACCCATCCCTCTAATACCAACTGACAAGACAGTCACAATCGTGCCAAACAGCATTTTAAAATGAAGTCATACAGAGTTATTGCTGTAGTCAAATGACCAAGCCAAAATGAAGATGTGTTTTCCTGATATGGGGAGATGGAATGAGGGGGATGCCGGGGCAGAGGCACTCGATTGAGGTGACAAAGAATCCAATTGGCTTTTTTTTTTTTTTTTTTTTTCACACCTCAAAAACAACCAAAGCGGGGCGGGGCGGGGAAGTTGATTGGCTGAGCAGGATGTGTGACTTGAGAATTAATCCTCGGACGCATAGATAAAAATGAACCGGGGAGGAAACAACTGCTCATACTCTGATAACCCTGTCACCTCTATAAATGGGAGACAAGGGAAGAGGAAAGATTTTGAAGAGAAGTGGAAAAGGAAATGAGATGAAGAAAAAAAAGGGAAGAAAATAGTGAAAGAAAGAAGTGTGAATGGCATTTCAGCTCTAACGGCCATATAGCGCCTGGCGTCCAGCTGTCAGCGGTGAAGAGGGAGGAGGGAGAAGAAAGGAGCGCATTGTAATCTTAGTCATAGGTCAACCTTCAAGGAACAATGTTGGAAAGGGCAGCTATTTGAAAAGCACTTTACCTCTGCAACTGCAGGATGGATGAATTCCATAGAGATAGACTACACTCTCTGTTAATGTTTTTCCTTATGGCTGGGTTTGGATACAGGCGTGGGCTAAAAACATCACATTTAGCGTCTCGTTGTGTACAGCACAGATACATAAGCGCACACTCGCTTTCACACATACACTCACACACACCTTGGAACATGTATTCTCTAATTTATTCTGTTTTAATTCCATTTTTGTCATCTGCTCCTCAAAGTAGAAAAGTAGAATAAATTTCCATTCCCTTACCAAATATCGAAAAATAAAAAAATAAAAATAAAATACAAACAAACTACAATACAACCAATAATGTCCTCTCTGGCTAACGATCTCCTATTTGTTTTGGTTTTCCCGATTCCTCAAAAATAATAGAATCTCTAATGAAAATGTTAAAAATACACTGACCTTGCTTTCAACTCTAATTTCAAACTTCAAAGAAAGAACGAAAGGAAAGACAGATCGAAAGATAGAAAGTGAGAGGGAACAGA